CAGCTCTGAATTTCCTTAAAATAATGTGCTATTTTTCCTCTTTAAGTCTAAACCTGCAGATTCAAAATGATACAATTTCATATATTACAATGAAACAGAGATTTGTTGCGTGATGGTCATTTCTAATCAGATCTTAAAAGCATTATTCTGTGGAAAATGTTTCATCCTGAAAAAAAATCCCCCCCCCCAAAAAACCCAAACCCAAACCTGTAATTGGAAAGTAAATCCCAAACATTCTGAAGTTATTATTTCCAGCCTGTGAAGAATCTCATAAGAATCTCTGGCAATAAAAGATACAAATAGCTCAGCCTCCTGCTGCTGAGGAGTGTAGTGGTTGTCTGCCTTTCAGTGAGAGAAAGGAAAACCTTGCCAGTAAAGTGGATGCACAGCCTGTCCAGGGCTGATCTGCTCAAAGACTTACAGTGTTTTAAAAATCCTAAAGAATCCCTTTGTCATATTAGTATGATCTGAAGGTATCTGGACTCCACCTGATCCCTCCACTGACACTATCTGTTTTGATGTGGGGGCCAGAGCTCAAAGGATGTTTATGTGATTTGATTTCCCATAGCTCAATGGAGTAAATACGAGTTAATGTCATTGTGTGATTACTAATTCTAAGCTGGTGATGGTTTCTTGGGAAGGTACACTTAGTAATCATCCCCATTTTGACATTTCAATGTCTGCACCACAGAAGGTGCCTTTCAATATTCGTAGCTAAGAAGCCCATTGCTCAGTTCATTCCAAGCTGTTCCAGTGTGCAGCCTGACATCCTTGCAGATACGTAGGGTTGGGGATTTCACATCCTTATGGCCCATTATCCCATTAAACAAAGATACAGGGAAATTTTCTTGTTATTGCTGATGTGCTGTAGACAGGTTAGAGTTCGTCCCTGAAGTGTGCAACTGAGAAATCACATATTAAACATGATTAGATTAATATCATTGTGCATTTAAGCTCTTTCAGACTATCAAGTTGTGTTCATGTTGCCATACCCACTGAATGCACGAGTGTTAGTTTTGAGTATTCCCAAAACAGTCATATTTCAGAAATGTAATGAATCAATAAATGTCTGGTTTATAAAACTCATCTTGTGATGGGTAGCAAAAAAGTGTTTTAAGTGTCACCCTGAAGCTGGCATGCAGTGAACATATTCTCCTCTGATTTAGTGAGATAAACCCATATGAGGGTGGGATGCTTCAAAATCCAAGAAGCTTAATAGTACTTCACACCTGGACGTCAGCAAGGAGAGTATGTCTTTGTTCCAAGGTTTCTCACCTAACCCCTGCTTCCCTCTGCCAAAACTCTTGACCCTATTTCTGCTTCTGTCTCTGGGGATCGCAGAGAGGTAGTTGCAAAGACTTTGAGGAAGACAGTGCCGTCTCATGATTGCAGCATGGATTCAGATATTGTGCCCCTACTCACGTGGTTCCTACTACCTTATCTTTCAATACAGGTAGATACACACAGTTGCTTTGTGGAAGCCCTGTCACGTTTAACTGGCACAAACACTCTTTTTCCGGACACTTTGGGTGTTGTTTGTGGTTTTGTTTTTTTTGATTTTTCACAGCTGCCCTCTGTGCATCTCAGAGAGCTTTCCTGTTTGCAGAAGAGTTTTGTGATACAATTGAAGGCTATCAGAAGGATTCAGATATCTTATGTATTGAAAGTAAATGTGTAACCCAGATGATTTACCTTCAATGTCTGAGAACACTACGAAATGTTCCTGGCTGCCCCAGTTTATCTGAGCACATTCCTTGTAGTGATTTATTGGAAGATGTTAATGCATGCCTTGCTTCAGAGGCTCTCTTAATGTGAAAAAACTTTGCTTTGATACAAGTCCAAATGCCGCTCATTCTGTACGAGTATACTCAACCACAGAGGCTAACAAGGCATCAACTGCAGCCAGACAACTCTGAAAGAATATTCCTGTTCAAGGCAGATGGGAAACACTGGTGTGCAGAAGGGCTGAATGGTTTTGGAAGTACTCTCCAAGCACCAAGCAGTATGTGCTCTCTTTTTTAATAAACTCTGGCAATACTTAACAGTCATAGCTTCAGTTTAGCATTATCACATTTGAGGGACAATTGCTTAGACCTTTGCCAGTGGTGAGAGTGCCATTAAGATGGTGGAGAAGGTGAAAGCAGTCAAGAAATTACACACGGTATGAGCCAAAGGTCTGAAATGAGTTTTCAAAAAACCCCTAATTTTGGCCTTTTTCTAAAAAGGGAAGAGTCAGAACTGGCAAAGTCTTCTACCAAAGGACTGAATATCAAAACCGTGTCACATTGTCCCAGTGGTGTAACTGAGGAACTAGCACTGGCCACCCTGGGAATTTCATCCCAAGATGTGACAGGAAGAGTCTTAGCGGAACCACCCTTGGTTGTGGCAACATCCAGCGTGGCCAGGGGAAACTCTTCGAGGAGTTTGCAGAACTGACGATTTCCACAGAAAATTGAAGGCTGCTGCAGTGATTCCTGCCAGACCCTATTGGTATATACAAATCTGTTGGGTTAGGCTTCTTCCTTCCCTGTCATTCAATGTGCCTCCTTCAGTGATTTCCTTTAAAATCTGCTTTAAGGTAAGAGCAAACAAGTTGCTGTGAAGTGAAGCAGACTTGGAGCTGTACCTTACCAGCTACCCCACATGAAATGCCCATGAAGAGCTCCCGGGGGCCATACAGACTGAAAACCAAACTGCAAATGTTTTGTCTTTCTCTTGCCTAATGCTGGCAATCAGAACATAGTCGTCAGAACTGGAGAGGTGGCTTTCAGGGAAGAATGATCCCAAGGTTTCTCTTCTGCTTGACAAACAGTCCCACCATTAAGCTGTGACCTTGGAGTTGCACCCTCCTGCATTAGGAGATGTGCGCAGTACTTAGGAAGCTAGCCCTACCAAAGGCTAAAGTCCTCTTTAGAGAGCTTCTGCTTGAACCAAGAGAGGATACGCTGCTTGGGCCAGGCCAGTGCTGCTTCTGTGCACATCCACACCTCCTGGAAGCAGGAGAACTTAAAATGGCAAAGAGTTCAGATGGCAACTGAGCACAGCATTGCACTGATCACCATTCGGATGTAGACACCTCAGTCCACAACCCGCTGGCAGTACATGAGCTGTACGCTTAGGCGCTATTTCTAGTAAGGTATTACTATATGTGCATATAGATAATAATGTAGGTATTTAAAACATGCTCTAATTAAATGAGGTTTCTGTAGAGTAACTTGCCCAAGACTCACACCTACTGAGGCATACGCAGCACTGGCTAGCATTTTTTGCATCAGCAGTATCTCATTACATGACTATAGCAGCTTAATGTTAATGTGCTCAGGGATCCCTGTAAAACTAAAGGCTCTGTCTACAAATGCACCAGCCTAGTGGAAAGGTGGTGAGGCACAATTCCTGACACAGAGCTATTAGCTCATTTTCCCTGGGGGACTGGTATCTACTCTAGTTTTGCTTCAACGTATGATGAAGTCCTTCTTCCCCAGGGATAACTGACATCGGATTTTGCAGGAGCATCAGTCACTTCACAGCAAACTAAAACAGGCACAAAATACAGAAAGTAACAGCTCACTTCACCCTCACTGAAATACTTTTGAAAGCAGCAAGGCAGTGGAAGCTTCCCCTTTTCTTGTTCTACAATCAGTGAATGTTTAGACAGAATGAACCAGAGGAGGAAATACAATCTGCTAAAAGTTGCTGGGGTTTGAGACCTGGCGAGACTGAATCCACAATAATTTAATGTTACTACCATCCCCTAAGGAAGGTCAGTGAGGAGAGTACAGATTAAATGCTTCTGCCCAGAAAACACAGGAAATAGGGAGACCTGGAGGTTTTCAAGAGACAGGATGCTTCAAACCCGTTCCTCATTATTTGTATGCTCTTTGCTAAGGCTGTGGCAATAGCTTTCTTTTTAAAGGAACAGTTATCAACTACCTTTGGAAGCTGTTCACTTCAAATAAGATTAATAAATAAAACACCCACAACAACCCTAAAAACCTTCAGACCATGATTTTATTTTTTGTCAATAACAGACATTTGTCAGCCAGAGGTACAAAAACCCCACCAAACCCAAAACACATTTATGAGATCCCCTAACTGCGAGATAGGAGGGGCTGCTAATTGAGACTGTTATGCCCTGCACAAAAGGCTTAGGAAGGAAGTGTTCCACAGAAGGGGACTGTACCTATTGAACTGAAACACAGCATTTATCCAGAAAAGAAAAGAAAAAATAGTAATTACCCCTTTTCGTTCAGTACATTCTTGTTTCTGCTGTGATGTCTACAGTTTTACTGAAAGGACACCTCAGGGACATGAACAGAAACACTCACTGTTCCCTGGTTTCATTAGCTGCTTCTTTGGCCCTACCTCTTCCAGACAATCTTATCCCCATGCTACAGCTGCAACGGCATTACCCGCAGAGCCAGCATATTTCAGATACTGCCTTGGAAGAGGGTACAGTTGGCTTCGGTTAGCAGCTCGGTACTGTGTGGCAGGCAGCCCCATCTGAGGCATGTCACACAGTGAGAGCAAAGTCCTTCCCAGAGGCACCAATCGCTATGGAAGGAGAAGAAAGCAGAAGACCACTGTTTACTTCCCTGCTCCTATGACGAGGAACTGTTCAGTCAACATTTAATTAGTGTAAGACCAGCAGACAGAACTGCAATGTCTTACTCTCCTTGCTAAAGGAGACACTCCAAAGGCTGATGCAGTGCATGGTTATTATGTGGTTTCTTAAGCCTAAGGCCTTTAAACTTTCATGAAAAGTGGAACACAAGAGGTTCCACTTAAACTTGAGAAGAAACTTCTTCTCAGTGAGGGCGACAGAGCACTGGAACAGGCTGCCCAGGGAGGTTGTGGAGTCTCCTTCCCTGGAGACATTCAAAACCCGCCTGGACACATTCCTGTGTAACATTGTCTAGGTGTTCCTGCTCCGGCAGAGGGATTGGACTAAATGATCTTTCGAGGTCCCTTCCAATCTCTAGCATACTGTGATACTGTGAAAAACATTTGCTATCTAAATGAATTTTATCTTAACAGGGTAGTTAGAATACTATGGGTATCCCTGATTAACATTCCCATTTGCCCCTGCAGCCACAAGAAGTCATTTCATTTTGCTTCATCTGACACTGATCAGAGGCCAGGAAATTTTACTTCAAGGTTTGTGAAAATTTGATTTTTACAAAAAAAGATGTTTCTGAGTAAAGAAACATCTCTGCTAAAATGAGTAAAAGGTCCAATGAGAAACATATTTCAAATCTAGCTCAGCATAAAAACTGTGTGGCTAACTGAATTAGGAAAACTAGATCTTTTTTTATGCCAGGTAGAGCAGGTGGTGTTAAAATTCCTCCTCAGCTTGTCTGGAGCGAGAACGTTTCAGATCCAGCAGTCTCTCCACAGTGTCTGCAATTGTACGCTCACCATGCACCTTGTTATCTCGGGTGCGGATGTTAACTGTTCCACTTGCCTTCTCCTTTTCACCAACAACTAGAAACGATACAGATGCAAAGGAATGAATTTAACATTTAGCAAGCTTCTTTTTTTTTCCCCTATTCCTTTAAATTTTAGGTGTACTAAACAAAAATTCTAAAAAGCTTACCAACTAACACATCAATTCCTTCTCTGCCCTCCTCCCAGCTGCCCCAGCTTAGATCCGTAACAGCCAACAGCCTTAGTCTTGTAAAATTTAATAGGTTTTAGCATGTTATGAACAGCACCTTAGCAAAATATGGGTAAAGATAAAAGTAAACTTTTAGTTCAGCCTGACTTACTTGTTATTAGAGACAAAGTCAAAATGAGAAACAAACACAGAATCATACAATCAACCAGGCTGGAAAAGATCTTTAAGATCATGAAGTCCAACTACTACCCAGAACTGCCGAGTTCACCACTGAACTGTATCACCAAGGGCCTCATCTACACAGTTTCTGAACACTTTCAGGACAGGGATTCTACCACTTCCATGGGCAGCCTGTTCTAATACCTGATTATCCTCTCAGTGAAAAAAATTTTCCTAATATCCAATCTAAACCTCCCCTGGTGCAGCTTGAGGCCGTTTTCTCTTGTCCTGTCACTTGTTACTTGGGAGAAAAGTAACCCACTTCACTACAACCTCCCTTCAGGTAGTTGTATAGAGCCTTCTCTTCTCTAGACTTAACAACCCTAGTTCCCCCAGCTGTTCCTCATCAGACTTGTGCTCTGGACATGGATTACTCCATTAGTAAAGATTAGAAAGACAACATGACTGTAAATAACCAATAGCTATCTTTTTTTTCTTTACAGAGACAGCAAGACAGTTTATTGGAAAATCACAAAGCTTTTTTAGATACAGATACCAAGATAACATATGCATGTCTCATTACTAATACAAGGTTGTGTTTCTCTGGTACCCAATCTACATTCAGCTAGGACAACTCTTTAAAACAACCTCTGAACATAAATTGGGTGAGATTTTTTTCTCTGATAGACTGATCATTTCTTTTAGGTCTTGAAGACAAAATGTGGTTGTGTAGTTATCATACGCTTCAAGTTTTAAAGAAGAGAACTTTAGTCATGATTCTGTCAAATATTTTCCTTCTGCTGTAATGGAACCCAGAGAGTTTTAGGGTCAATGCTAAAGCCTCGATTTACATGACCTGACTTATGTGCTGCTTCAACTCACATACTTCAGGGTCAGTTTCTAAGTCTCCCTGCACCATCCTTTTGTGGAAGTCTTCTCCTACACGTGCATGTATAGCTCCAGAGTGGACCACAGCTGAATGCACTGAAAAGATGGTAATTCTTTTGCTACACTTCAAACAAAGAGCATTATTTACTACTGGAAGGGGGGGGGGGGGGGGCAGGGGGGGAGTTGAAAATCACTTAATCTGACTGATAAAAGGCAAGAGATTTCATAGATGTCTCTACACTGCTGGCCAGAAGACAGCAAAGGTCTTTTCCTAAAGCAGCAGGAATGCCTTGGGCCACAGTGATCTCCTTTCAGTGACAGCTATCCAAGCCAGGAATGTCCATCATGTAGGCGGGAGAGGCTCTCCGGAATGAAGACTCTTAGGAACAAAGTGACCTAAAACTCTGACTACCACTCTCTGCATAGCTCACAGAAGATCAAATACTATAACCCATGCGAGGAAATCAGCCAAGATAATAAATGTATAAGATAACAAAAATACATTACCCAGAATAAAGTTATACTGTGCTAGCTGAGCATTTCTGATCTTCTTATTCAGTGTGCACCCAGGATCTACATCAACATCTGCCATTAATCCAGCATCATGGAAGTGCTGCCTGACCTAGGAGAAAAAGTATTTAAACTGTCACTATAGGATATTCATGACAATAAACAATTTATGACTTGTAGACTTAAGCCAGCTAAGCTTACCTGACCCCTGAAACAAAGGCACTGTCATTAGCTCAGATGTTGGAGATGAGCTCAGTTCAAGTAATGAAAACAGGTCAGCTATCATGCAAATACATATACACTAAATACCTAAGCAGTTACGTGAATATCTAATGTTTTGGGCTGAAAAGCAACTGGAGTTTGATACTGTAAAAGGCAGCATGATGGTGGATTAGTTTTCCGATTAGAACAGATTTTTTAAAATTCATCTTGCAGACTATTTATATATTGTGTGCTTGAAAAAGACTGCAGGTCTGCTGGATCCTCATTTTTCTTGCTGCTCTGCAAGATGTGGGAAACTAGAATCTGAGGGGTAAGACAGCTTTTGAGCTAGAGAAGAAAAAAGTAAGTTTTCCAAAAATAAAAGTCTTACAAGGATCAGCACTTATTTAGATGCCCAAAATCCATCTCAGGTCCACTTTACGATAGATCTACAACTTCAGCAGCTGTCATTGTAAGATAAGAATGACACTATGCAATATGCAAAGACTTGTAATATTTATCTGAGATTAATACTCTTAATAACCAACTATCTCAACTAAATACAATATACTGAGGAAAAAAAAAAGAAAAAAAAAGAAAAAGCCCCCAAACACATACTCACCTTTTGAGCATATTCATCACATGCTGGTCCCACTGGTACCACCATGACCTGCTGTGGGGACAGCCAGAGTGGCCTTTGATAAACCAACAAAACAAGTTTATAAAGCTTTCAGTATTTTTTCAAGACTGAAAAATCCTATTAACAGATAGCACTAAGATCTGTTTAAGAGACTCATAAAGCCAGATACTTAGATTGGGTTCAGAGGTGATGACAGCCTTATACTTGTTACAGTTTATTACCCACAGAAAATGAGTGTCAAAGAACTGCAGCACAGACAATTACTTTCTGACCTGAAGACTCAAGTTGTCTTTACAAGAGGCAACAAATGATAATTGAGTTGTTGAGCTTATTACTAACTAATCATGGGAAAACATTTACTTTTAAATCTTGTTATAGTCAGAGGGATCATCCCCATCCAGTATTACAGTACATAAGGTAAACAAGATCATCTACATAAATGACTCTTCCCAAGGCACCCCAGCTGAAAAAGCAAAGTTGAGATATACACCTTGGGCAGATAAGATGCATGCGGCACCTGCACGAGTGGCATCATGTAGAGGCTACCGTATCTAGACTCATTTAATATCTAAAGACAGTGGTTCAGAAGGATAGCCCTGAGGTGTACCTACAGCACGTCTCTATAGCAAGCAAGTACAACACACCGTCTCCATTCTTGCATGCTTGAGGCTAATTTATCTTCTACATAAAACATCTGCTCAAACTGGAATAATCTACTTTTCAACATTACCATTTGCCTCCATAGTTTTCAGTTAGAATGGCAATCATTCTCTCCACAGATCCCAAGATAGCCCGATGAATGATAACCGGTCTTGTCTTGTCATTGCCATCATGGCTGTGAAAAACAATGGAGGTTTTTAAATGTAAGGTTTTTTTCTGGATGTAAACTTATGCCTGTAAGTGACAGGAAAGTTGAATTACATAGCTGTTAATATCATCAGCCTCTGCGCTTACCTGACAAAGGTGAGGTTAAATCTGACTGGCAGCTGGAAGTCAAGCTGGATTGTAGCACACTGGTGGTAGCGGCCAATGGCATCTTTAATCTGAATGTCAATCTTAAAACCAGAAAGACAGAAACCTTTTACTACAGTTTAAGATGCAAGCATGTTCCTCTGAAAGCAAACACACTGTTTTAAGATGGAATGTTTCACTCAGTGCAGAGGAACTGTATGTGGATTTAGACAATATAGTTTTACTTCAGCACACATGAGGATTTAAATGATTTGCAGGTTCTGATGCAAACCATGTTAGAGCTAAAACCAGGGTGAACATGTAGAGACATTAACTCCGACTATTTTTTGTGAGTTTCAGGCTGGGACTTTAACAGGCCTTTCTCACTGACAGAATTCAGCAACATACAAGTGCAAGTACAAGATTAGAATTGAACATGTATCTCCAAACACATGACTTCTTTAAACTCAAACTGGCAAACTTACACTCCTGTTTCATGCAGTATTTGAATACTCCGTAGCTAATGTTACACATTCAGGGCATGAACATGGGAGATCACTTACCAAGGGAGTTCATCTTAGTGACTGACACTTGCTCTGCACTATGACTATCTACAGTCTAGCCTATTCTTTCATGTCTTACACTTTAATCTGGAATAGTTATGATACAAGTTAGACAAACAGATGGACAGGTTTATAATGTCCCGACCTTATTAATTTAGAACACTGCTCTCTTTTTCATCACTTCTCCAGCATACAGCGATACTGGTATTGTGTGCCTGATTTTGATTTATATATCAAACAAACAGGTCAGCGTTCTACTAACTGAAGTTCTAAATGTCTTCCAATTTTGCATTCAGAAAGCAGAGCTTACCATAGTTCAGCTAGTCACCAAAAATACTAAATTGCAACCTTCTCTGATTTCAAACCACTCAGTTACAGAGTAGAAAAAAGTCCAATCCAGGTAGTTTAAGTTTCTCTAGATGTAGAGCTTAACTGAAAAATGGAGCTTTAACTACTTTCCATTAAAATCAGTGCAAAATATTATGTTTGCTCTCTTTACTTTGACTAAGGTGTATTAGGAGCAAGTATAAAGTTAATTAAGGTTAAGAAAGGTTCCTGATATTTGCTGTCTTCAAATCAAGTGAGGGAATTACTGAATGTAAAATGCAAAACAAGATTATGAATGATTAGCTACTATAATACATTTCACCTACAACCCACAAAATGAAATTGATCCAATTACCATAAAAAGAGAGAAATCAGAACCAGTTGATTAGATGACTGAATGTAGGCATAGATATAGCGTAGGTTTATTAGGGAAAGATTTACAGTAATTTTACAAGCCTGTGTGTCCCTACGCTCAAAGGTATAAGGGAATTTCTAGAAAGCCCTAGTTAACTGAGGAGATAAGCTTTAAAAACCCCAACAAAACCGAAAAAACCAATACCAAAACCCACCAGCGACTCAATACAGCTACAAAACTATGCCAGTAAAAAGTAGTATTTTTCAAAATAACTGTTTAACCAGAAAGTTTTTGTTTTTCTCATGACTTGTGATTCACTTACTACCCAATGGATTATTTCTCATGCAGCAACTGCTCTACTAACACAGCTCCTACAGTGCCACCTTCTGTTTATGTCTCCCACTAAACTTAGCAGCTCTGTTTAAGCAGCATACAAACGGTTTATGCATGTAAATTGGGTTTAAGTGAATGTTAAGGCTAAGTGAAAGCAAGGGTCAGAGAGGATTATTTCTCTCTCAAGTTTGTCTGAGTTTATGTATCTGGAAAACCACAAAATATCAGTCAGGCAGCATCTTAAAATGGTATTAGGTAACTACAAGAAAAAAAAAAAAATCCCTTCTTATAAATCCCAGCTCTTTGACTCATCCAAACAGAATGAAAAGTATAATCCAGCTAAGGGTTAGTAACACACCAACCTTAGGTCCATAGAAAGCTCCATCACCAGGGTTTAACTCCCACTTCTCACCAAAGTCATTGAGGCTGTTTTCAAGTTGCTAGAGATAAAGAACACATACACTCAGTGTTTCTCAATCATTTGCTGTCTTTCCATGTTACAGCATCACATCAACCTGCTACCACAGATATGTGACACTACCAAATTTTCAGTACTTCTCAGTTACTGCTGCAACTCATTTATTTTCTGAAAAATAAAAGTTTTGGAAGAACCCCAGCATGAAAAAAAAAATAATAAATTTTTTAAAAAAAGGTCCAAATTTAACAAATAAATAAACAAAAAATAATTAAACCATTCATTTAAGAAGAGGCCAAACAAGCAGTGTCAGCTAAGAGACAAGAAAGCTTTATGCTAGATTCAAAGTTTGTAGATAATATTGGCAGGGCATCAATCCCAATACACCCAGTATCTATTCCTGCTATATCTTCTTCCTAGCACTGCACCTGCAGGGGTTAACCCCATCTCTTTCATCATGAAAGCAACTGTACTTTTGGAAAATGGCTCTATTATAGAGACTGCCAGAATTGGCTCTCCTCCTCCTTTGTTTTTTTATTATAAGAATATACAAGGAAAGAGAGAAAGAGAGAGAGCGGTAATTTGATTTTGACATTGGAGATCGTTTTTGTATGGAGGGTAAGCTATTTACAGCAGCCAGACTGAACTGAAGACTGTTATTAAAGTAATATTGCTGATGCCCAGCTGTCACTATAGTTCCTAGAAGCCAATATGTTCTTACAGGACTTTAAGCTGCAGCCTTTCTTTCATACAAAAAGTTGGTAAAACTACTGTTACCTTTTCAGCTTGATTCCACACTTCAATATCTCCCAGGTACTTTTCAGGACGAGTGGAAAGATTCAGTTTAAAGGAAAATCCAAAGACATCATACACAGTACGCAAGAACTCCAGACAACTTTTAATCTCCTCTTCAATCTTTACGAAAACAGGAACAGAAGTCTCAAATATGGAAAAATCAGTTATTCTGTTTTTAATACCTGACTTAATTTAACAGCAGCCCATACCTGCTCTATAGCACAGAATATGTGAGCATCATCCTGCTGGAACCGGCGTACTCGAGTGAGTCCTGTGAGAGCTCCAGACAGTTCATTGCGATGCAGAACACCAAAATCAGCCAACCGTAGTGGCAACTCACGCCATGATCTTGGGCGATGATCAAACATAAGGCTGAAGGAAAAGTTTATTAGTTGAAGCTCATCCAGAATCAATTTCTGCAAAGAACAGACAGTGAGAAGCAGCCAGTACCTAAGCAAATGCCCATAACACCAATGATGTAATCTGAATACAGCCATCATTCACATCTCCTTTTGTCAGGGAAACAAACGAGATAATCCTTTTATAACCAGTATGCTTCCCTCACCAAACAGAGAGGATAAAACAGTTCCTAAAACTGAGCATTAAAACCTGAATGCCTAAATTGCCACAAAATTGGCAATGACCTAGTATCTATTTTGGATATTCAGGTTTTGTAGTATCACTGTAAGCTTCAGCTCAAAACCACAGCCACTGTAATGATGGAAAAAATGATATTTTTCAGTGTCTCAAAGAGAGCATGTAGTCACGAGGACTCATAATTACATCACTCCTGACAGCATGTCACACCTGGATACCGGAAGACCTCTTTACAATTAAGCAAGCAAAAGAAACAGGATTTGTGTGCATCATCTTTAGTAAACTGGATTTGCCATGTACCTACCAGTGTCCTGGACAGTTCATAGGCTTCAGAGCAAAGATTTCTTTCTCGACTTCAAAGGAGAACATGTTGTCACTGTAATGCTGCCAGTGCCCCGAAGTCATCCAGAGTTTGCTGTTGAAAACATTTGGAGTAACAACCTCCTGGAATCCACGTTTTCGATACTCACTCTGAAACAAAAGACCCAGTACACAAAATAACTAAAAGGACAGAATTACTAAAGTAATGCTACTCAGCCATCAATCTGCAGCCATAAAAATATACAAATGCTGCCATAAAAAAGTCCCTGACTTGAGGAAAGAAGAGGCTGAAGAGAGTAAAATTCAAGTTGGACATGCCAGGATACATCCCTTCCACCAGCACCACCCTTCCCCCAAACAATTCCTCTGTAGCAGGCAAGAAGAACAAGTTTCTTCCCTGCAAGCAAAGCAGCAGTCTGTAATTACTCGGTGACACTTGACAGTACCTTGCAGTGCTTATGTACAGTAATAGGACACACTTTAAACACTACAAGATCAGGATTTTTTTTATCCCTACACATAATTTCATCATAAACAGCTCTACAGAGTGAAATTTAGTAAGCTTATTAAAACAAATCAATGTGCATCAGTGGGACAACTGCAGTGTAAGCTTATTGCTACTATTAGATGTTAAAGAATTCATACTATCATTATCATAGCTTTAACTGCAGGTGTAAAGCATTGATAAAAACGTAACTTTGTAGAGATTGTAACACCACCAATTCAAAGAAACCAGGTTTCTTTAGTTCCATGGCTTACAGAATAAAAGATCCAACTAACTTGAAATGCAGGGCTGTTCTACTGTTACACGTAGCATGCTGTTACATATTTTTCTAAAACTAAGCAATTTCTTCTATAAGAAGCTTTCCAAAAGACCTTACCCGGATGAATTCAATTAATGTATTATAAATGTAGGCTCCTTTTGGCAAGAAAAAACAGCTACCAGGGCTGAGCTCATGAAAGAAAAACAGTTCTTGGTCCTGTAGAAAAACAGATTTGAAAAACTTAGTACTTGTACACCATCTTTTCATTTAACGTTCACAAATGAATTATTACTGACTTGGCATCACTATTCAAAGTTTGGGTTTGTTTTTTTTTTGTTTAAAAAAAAGCAATACCAATAGATGAGATGCACTTTCATTAGTATTTACATCCCCATCAATACTTACGGAGGAAGGAGACTGTTCAGTTTCCAGTTTCATTAGTGATGCTCCTAAACTTTGCACTTATGTGTAATTCCTAACTGTGCCCTCAGAGCTTCCTTTGTACTTTGGCAAGAGATACTTAGTTCTGCTTCTGCAGCTCTTTATAATTATTTGCACATGAGTTCAATGTGTCACCTGTAGCTGGCTGTTGTGACAAACTATGTACATGCTTGTGGCCTGCACATATAGTGAATTTTTCTGTGTATTTCCCTGGTGTACTAGCAGGAAACCTTGTAACAGTGTTCAGGACTATCTATTAGCTGACAGGCATTTCCATCTAAAAAACAAACCCAAAACCAAACCAACCAAAACCCCATAGAAATGTATAAATCCTGAAATCACACAGAGAAGAACTGTGAGTGAACAGGCTGCAGCAAACAGTGTAGGAATGAGTACTGCCTGCAAACTGAAGAGCTCATTTGCAGACTGAAGTGTTCATGTTCTGTTGTGACTGATATGTGGAATAAAGATGTCAACATGCTTAAAGCAGCAAAAGGTTTAAAGAGAAGTTATCTGCTTTAAGATTTTTTATGATCTTTAAGAGAAAATTACCCAAATCTGCAACTCAGCTAAAAATACAGTTGTGTCATGTCTTGATTATGGCAGCACATATAAACTGTATTAAAGATCCTTCTTGTTAAGGGGCTTCAACCACACAGTGTTTGTGAAATACATTAGCAGAAAAACTCTCACCCGCCCAATTTTTCTGTGATCTCTGCTTTTAGCCTCCTCCTGGAATTTCTCCCACTCCTTCAGCATTTTTGCATCTGGGAATGAAATGCCATAGATCCGCTGGAGGGATTCCATATCAGCCTTGCCTTCCCAATAGGTAGAAGAATTCTGCATTCAAAAAAATAAACGAAACCTTGAAGAAAAAAAGGAGCCTCCACATTTTACTACTACTGCATGTGATTATTAATAAATCAGCATATTTAATGTAGACCAATTAAAGCATAAGGAGAGTCTTAATCTCACATTTATAGCACTGATCAAAAAAATCCAAAACAACCAGGTGGTTTCAAGCTCTCTGTTGTTTTTTTAAACCTATTCACTCTCTTTTAGCCACCCTATTACAACTATTTATTCAGATTCAGCTATAACCATCAGCTGAGCAAAAACTATAAAACTAATTGATACAGTTCAGCTAAGCCTTAAGCCACACTCACATTTCTATCTGTACTGGAGTGTAGGCCCTGAACACCTACTTGGGCTTCACACCACCTGAATATCATTCTAGAATGCAACCCCTTCCCAGTTTGTTGCAGTGAGTTTTTGGCCAGTCTACCCATTTCACAGTACATTCTTGGGTAAGACACCATCCTGTGGCTCAAAGACAGCAATGCATTTTCAGTGAACACATTTGTCTAAGCATTTTTCAGCACTTACCTTATGAATTTTTATGGTCTTTATCTTGCCAGTATGTCTAACATGAGGCCCTCTGCATAGATCTATCAAGGGACCACACCTAAGAGTAGGAAAACATTCATTTGGTATATTTCACCCCAGAAAGATACATCCAGTAATATTATCATGTGTGTGTAATTACCTGTATACTGTTGTAGTTGGAGTAGTGACCTTCTCATTCAGGATACGACACTTGAATTTATTATACTGAGAAGAAAAGCAGCATACATATTTATTATCTCCTTGTTAAGCAGAAGGATGGCCAGCAGTTTAAATTACTTGCAAACCTGATGCTGTGCTGCACCAGAAGAGGATTATAGAAGACAGACAGGACAGTCAAGTAGTGGAGCAAGCTGCCGAGACAGCAGGTTGTAGAGTCTCCATCCATACATGTTCTGAAGACCCAACTGGACAAGCCTTTAGGAGACTGGTCTGATTTTAGTGCTGACCCCATGCCCTCTGCTTAAGATTAGACTGGAGACCTATGAAGGTACATTTCAACCTAAATGCCCTTTACTCGCAAGAGAACCCACTTGAAGCACTGCATGCAGTTCTGGTGTCCTCAACACAAGAAGGACATGGACCTCTTGGAGCAAGTCCAGAGGAGGGACACAAGCATGGTAAAGGGAGCTGGAGCACCTCCCGTATGAAGACGGGCTGAGACAGCTGGGGCTGTTCAGCCTGGAGAAGAGAAGGCTGCGTGGAAACCTCAGAGCAGTCTTCCAGTATCTGAAGGGGGCCTACAAAAATGCTGGAGAGGAACTCTTCACCAGGGACTGTAGTGATAAGACAAGGGATAATGGGTTCAAACTTGAACAGGGGAAGTTCAGGTTGGATATAACGAAAAAATTCTTTCCTGTGAGCATGGTGACGTACTGGAACGGGTTGCCCAAAGAAGTGGTAAATGCTCCATCCCTGGCAGTTTTCAAGGCAAGGCTGGACAGAGCCTTGGGCAATATGGATGAGGGTGAGGTGTCCCTGCCCATGGCAGGGAGTTGGAACTAAATGATCTTAAGATCCTTTCCAACCCAAACCATTATATAATTCTATGGTTCCCCTGATCTCCTAACAGTGAAAATTGAGTAACATCTATCTCAGGAATGCCAGGTAATTATTTACAGCTAGGTGCTAAAGACGAAGGATCAGCTTTTAGTGTTCCCTGGATCTCTCAGAAGTCCTCATTCTAAAAAATGTTCTGTAAAGCCTTCTGAATGCATCAGCACATGCAATAGTATCACCACAGCTCTTTACTAACAGCCAATATAATACAGACATACAACATAACTGCGCATAATATATTGCTAATCTACATCTGTGGGAAATAAAGAACATGGCTTCAGAGATTTTGCCAAGGTCACACAGGGGAAGTATGAGAATTCTGCAGAAAACCTTCTGCACATTCCTGTTTTTTGTTTTGTTAAATACCACAAATGAGCTTATAAAAACATACTACCTTAAAAAAATTTAACCTTCCTCTACCACTAAGAGAAATGCGGCTAAAGTTACAAATACTTAAGTAAGTGCATGATGCTAGAAACAACCTTCTGAAACAGCTTACCTTGAACATTTCAAGCAGTGTTTCCTTCTTAACTTCCAGTCTTTCAAAAGCTTGTTTTTCCTTCATTATCTTTTTGCATAAGGTTTCCAAAGCAGAGAAGTCATTACTTGATACACCCCTAAAATAAATACACACAACAGTGAATCGTTCTTGCTTTCATTTGCAATTTCTGATCCAGTTGCAATGACCCAGCTTGTGGATGGGACGCGCTAGGAGGAACAAAGCAACATTCAGTAGTGCAGACGACTTTGTTCTGGGAACAGGAAGGTAACAGAAATACTGCTGTGATAGCCACTGCCCTGCTCCTATTAAAGAAACACACAAAACCTACCCTTCCTCAAGGTACATGTCATAATAAAATCCATTTTCTATTGGTGGGCCATAGCACAAACAGCCACCATAGATTCGCTCCATAGCTTCGCCCATTATATGAGCACTTGAGTGCCAGTATACCTAATGGAAGCAAAAAAAGGGGATCAGTCGGACACACACAGTGCATTTCTGAGTATTTCATTTAAAACCTTTTCCGAAACCCAAAATCTGCACCAAGTACCCTGCTTTCCAGGGTACTTGATGCAGATTCCACATTGGAGCGGTCTGGAGAGGGGAAGTGTCCAGGCCAGCCACACTCTCATCCTAAGCACCGATATATGCCAAAGGCAGTACTTCCACTGGAAAACTGTTTACAGTAGCAAATAATTCTTATTTTCAACTATCACTGAAATGATTCAGTCATTCTCAAGAAGTCAGGAAAATAATTCAGAAACCTTTTTTTCTTTTCCTATGAACTTCAATCAATCAGCTCTGCAAGAAGACCAAAAGGTGCACTTATAAGGTTGCGGTCCTCATCTAAAGATTTTATGCACAGGAAATGCTGCACTGAAGTACAACATTTCAGTTAAAAATTATACTCCGTCTTGTAGTTCACCTGAAGTTTTGACAAATTAAAACTGTATCTATAGGACTTAACGTCTGCTTTTATTTGCACGGTACAGAAAAAAATTAATCTCACAGGAGCCACCATTTTGCCAATATGAAAACCCTAAGTCTGAATGCAAGACCTCTGTTATGGTGTGACTGACAGCTTCTTGTACCAAATGATTTTTTTCTGAAAACAGTATTTACAAATTTACTGGATATTCACATTTATCTGAATAAGTAGCCAAAATAACGTATGAACTTTTGCATGTACGAAGTAAAAAGAGCAGCCTACTCAGTGCTTTTATGACTGTACATACATTTGCACTCAGTATTGTGTTCGAAGTCAGTGCTGAAGAGATCAGTTCAAAATACCTACATAAACATGAAGGTTGCATATATAAAGTTTTAACAAGAACAGACTTACATAAACTACAGCAACTGCTAGCAAATGTGGCTATAAATACACATTGGAATGTGTATAATCTGCACTACGGCAATTCCTTTGTAAAGGACCAATAGAAAATGTAGATGTACACGGCAAACCTGTTCCCTCATCATTATCTTCTGAACATGGTGAAGATGTAAATAACTAGTCTAGGCTAAGCTTAATGCAAATCCAAGGGCAATCAAAATTGGCAGAAGATACTCACTGCTTGAGCCTCTTCATCTTCAAACTTAAGCAGCTCCAGGGTACAATCCTCCTCCAAAGGACGGTCTAGATCCCAAACCATCTTGTTCACTTTAGCAATAACAGTGTTGTCAGCTAAACTCTGACTACAGAATAAATACACAGTATATCATTTTGAAATTGGCAAGCAGAAGTTTCCCAAATTCACCACCCATGCTAAGTAAGGTTTTCAGGAGTGCTCAGAGTAGATACAGTGTCATAAATAAAATTCAAATAAAAGAGTAGTTTAGCCTGTCTTTAACATTCATGAAAATCATATTTGTATTACAGAGATGAGGGAAGAAAACTGCTGTATACTTGACATCAGACATTCATTAACATATCTGACTTAGAGACAGCCACATTAAAGTACTAACCTGACTTCAAAATCCTACAGCAATAAAACAGCTTCTCTTTCAAAGATTATCAAATACCATTTCTGATGTTGTAACTTTATAGTTTTATTTCTAATAAACAAAAAAACCTTTCCTTGATCCCAAAACACAAAAGCAAGAAAGGTTCCAATGACAAGGCACCTAACAATGAAAAGAAAAAAAAAAACAACAAAAAACCGCATTTCATCTCTAGGAACCACCCAGTTTTTGTAATTTTAACTGCCAGGGTGTCCAACTTCTATTGTTCAAATCTTGTCCACAGAAGCTTGAGTAACGTGGAGATGTGCAATGCGTGGGTAACCCCCATGCAAGAAAAAATGAAATTAAGGGAAAAATACTCCTACTGTTAACTCCCTCTGAAATCAACAGAAACATCACACAGCAGTCATCTTCCCTAGCTTGATGCAGACTGATTTGCCTGTGTTAGTAAACTTAGTTAAAAATTAGTTCTTCACAGTGAGGGTGGTGAAGCATTGAACAGGCTGCCCAAAGAAGTGGTAAATGCTTCATCCCTGGCAGTGTTCAAGGCCAAGCTGGACAACACTTGGGCAACATGGTCCAGTGTGAGGTGTCCCTGCCTATGGCAGGGGGTTGAAAATGGATGATCTTAAGGTCCTTTCCAAACCATTCTATGATTCTACAATAGTACTTACGGGGGAAAATATGCAAGTAATTTCTGTCTAAAAATCCCAATTACATTCTTAAATAATTGTAGAAACTGTATCTTCAGAAGGCAAAAAAAATACACTCCAAAACTAAAAGCCTACTGGTTACCTCCTGCGTATTATATACAAGACACCTTGAGAGGCCTCGAGATAAATTACTGAAGTTATATATTACATATACCCTCTCAGCTACAACATGCAGACACAGAGCTGTCTGAAAGTGAGCATGTCACAGAATAGAATCATACCTAATTCCACAAGCGATTTGATAAGGAGTAGTCTTCCAAGATTCAGCATCAACTTGCTTGCCATCAGGTAACGTAACTTTAATGGGTTTACTGTCATTTGCAGCCCTTTCTGCAAGGAGCGCATCATGTTCAGCTTTAAGTTTATTGTACATCTCTAAACGCTCACTGATAAATGCAGGCCAGGGAGTCAGCTGATTATAATGAATAAAGACAAAGGGGAAAAAATCAATAGATTATTAGAGTAATCTACTATCACATTATGTCAAGAATGAAAACAGAATGGATGTACTTTTCACAAGCACCTTATCTATACATGTGCTATATCTAACAATCATTATTATTACAGATTAATGATATAGTATCAATGATCTATTAATAAAACTTCAGCTTAACAAAAACTATTTCTTTGAAATATACCACTGTACACCTGTTAAATAAAGCACACATCTATTACTAGGCACAGTAGATTGAACACCTCTTTAATAAGCTACACAAGGACAAAAACCAATCTGAAAAGCCTGCAGAAGTTCAACATAAAAACAGATTTTTTGTATTAGGTCAAAAAACTGAGGGAACCCCTCTACTTTGAGCCACCTGGACAGGAACTGACACCAGCCCGCATAACACAGAATTATGTCATGTCTATCAGCCTGGGTACAACCAAGGCTGTACAGCTGTGCAGCTGGCTCAGGATTAGTGCTGGCGAGCAGCTGTCCCTCTCTGTGCAGTCAGAGAGATCTGTATTTACCCACCATCAAGATGGAAAAGACACAGCACCTTACACTGGACTTCCACTGTACTTCCACTCCACTACTTACCGCAGCTTACCACTCAGCGCAAACAGGGGCACAGTGAAAAGCAACTATGGAAATCTGAGCTGCTCTCCCATTGCACCAATACCACTTGGTGTAGGTAAGCAACAAAGTCATTTCCTGGCAAACTCTGAGGAGTTACTGTAACACCAGATAAAAATACCTGACAGGGATGAACTGCAGCAATGCCAGCAGCGTGTAAGACAGCAACTGGGAGACCGCATCTTTGAAGCCCTCCACCCCCCGTGGCCGAAAGGCAGCTCACCTCCGTCCGCCCTCCATCGCCGGCCCCCTCATTCATCTTCTTCTTTCCGCTCTCTGCCTTCTTTTCTCCCCCAGCATTTACCTGAGGAGGGCGAGCACCATTTCCTCATTCTGCAGCAGCGGCTCATACTAGGGCGCTTTAGCCCCTAGCCCCCCCCCCCCCCCCCCCCCCCTCAGCCCCGCACACCAAGGAAAAGACCCGGCCTCTTCACCCCGCGGAACCGCAGCGCACCTCCCTGCTCTTTACCTCTAGATAAACCCCACTGCCTTTCTACCCTGCTCCGCCGCAGCCGGAGAAACCCCCGGCTATGAGAGGGCACGGGAGGAAAGGCCTCGCTCCCTTCTACTGCCAGCACCCGTCCTCCGGACCGGGCTGCCCCACCTCCAGGCCTGACACGGGAAAAAGGGGCCGCCCCGCCTCAGGGTAACCCCCAGTGAGCGGAGTGAGGGGCAGCCGGTGCCCCAGCGCGGCCCGCCGCGGAGCTAGGCCCACCTGGCTGTCAGCGCCCGCCATGACTGCAAGCGGAACCTCACAGCGCAGCAGGGAAGGGGCGCATGGAGCGCCGCGCAGGCGCCTCTTCCCGGCCGCAGCTGATGCAATTGGGGGCGGCCGCAGGATCGGACCCGGCCCTGCTCCAGCTGTGCCGAGCCCAGCCCAGCCCTTGCGGCCGGGGCAATAGGGCTGGAGGGCAGCGCCGTGCCGCCAGGGCTCGGTGGCCGAAGAGGGGGAGCGGCGGCAGCGCGGGGCTCGAGTGGGTGCCTGAGCAGCGCAAGATGGCGGAGGTCCTGGGTGCCCCACTGAGGGCTGGAAGCGGGGCCCGTGTCCTCAGTGCTGCTCTCCTCGCTCCTGAGGGGGGAACACAACCAGCCTTTCCCCAACAGCAGGGCTGTAGGGCCCCAAAAGGGTGGCAAGGGGCTGAGGGTCGGGGTGGCAGTGAGGGAGCCCGCGCTGGTGTTTCCCTGAGGCAGAGGTTCGGTCAAGGATGTATCAACTAATAAGAGAAAACTAGGAAGAAAAATCGGATTGACCAATGGCGGATTTCCCAGGAGGGAAAAAAAAGGGGAAGACGTTCTGAGGGAATTCTGTCAGACCTGGACTGCAGGCGTGTGGCTGCTTTGCTTAGAGCTGTCCTATTGAGGGAACATTCAGCATCTTTAAGAAAAGGATATGATGTTCAGGCATGGCTTTTTGGTTTGTTACTCTCTTCCCCTTCACCCCCTGCTGATGTGTTGTTTTTATATAATAATAAATAATTTTCATATAGAAAAGTTACTTTCAGTACATTATTACAGTGCTGTGGACTCCCAAAGCAGTTGGTCCCAAGGCCTGTGGTGTGTTAATTTAGGAAAGGTGTTTATGACAAGATTCCATATTCCAAAGAAATCACAGTATAGCTTCCTTACTTGGAAGGGTCTCTCTATGTGGTTTGGGCCTCTGCTGTATGCACAGCAACCCACACCAGTTCTGCCTCCGCTAATAGATGCTTCATCTGCAGCAGTGATCTGGGATTTTAGAGTTTCAGTGAGCTAAAAAGTGCTCAGGTGGACATCAGAGTGCCTCAGACTCCATGGATTTAGTGCTGCAAGAAAAAAAGTTCAGGGAAAACCAGGCAGATTAGTATAGCTTTCAAATACTAGCTGTGTAGCTGCAAGGACCATTGAGAGAACATCACTGCATTAATTAATCACAAATTGAGGAGCTTAAAAATAATGCAAATAGTCATATATTTTTAAATTAACGCAAACATATGTTTAAATATTAATATATTTTGTTAAAATAATAATAAATGTATTCCTATAAATTATGCATTAATATATATTTTTAATACATATTTTTTATATATGTATTAGAATGGGAAGGTGTAGTAAATACAAACTTAAAGACAGTATCAGGCCTAAACCTTCATAATTTATTTGCTGTCTAAATATAAAATATGAAGCATAAATATTGCAAAAATATTTCTTGAACAGCAGCATTTAATAATGTATGTAAGTTACTGCATAGTAATACAGTGTTTAGTGTTATAAAGAATATTTTTAATATCTATATATATATTTTAAAATAATTTTTATATTTGAAATGCCTTCTAAAATCTCTTTGAGTGGAAGAATTACAACTAAAAGCACAACGAAAAGCTTATAGTTAAATTATTTAAGCCAAAATGAATGGAAACCTAATGAAAAGATGATGTAAAGCTTTCGAAAGCAATTGTCCCTTACACCAGGCGATGGCAGCATCGAACCACGCTGTGCTGGTGAGAAACATTCTCGAGGGTACTCACAGCTTTAGGTAACAGGATTTATGGAATAAAAAAGGAAACTAATGGACTGTTTTAGTAGCTTCGCTCTGAAGGCGCGTTATTAAAGATGTGTGACTGAACTCAACCGGACGCTAAGCCAGTGTAAATTGGTTTCAGTGTGCTTTAATGATTATCGCCAAAGTGAATGAATGGGTGTTTCTGCTTCCTTTGGAGTTTGTTGAATAAAATGTGGTTGGAAAGTTTGATGGGAATTGCAATGTCATTTGGCTTATATTTCACTTAGGAAAATTAAAAATACAAACGAAATGAAAATTAAAATTTAGAAAGTTAATAAAAAGGAAAAAATATGTATAAAAGTAATCAGGATTATTAAAAGGAGAAGAGAGTCAAAAAGTGAAAAACAAAAGGTAAATGAACATACAAGGAACTGAGGAAGGGGAAAAAGAGGATATTTTAAAAAGTTTTCTTCAGGGGAATATTTAAGAAAAATATTTCACAACCTGTAACTCATTTACAGTAAGTGAAGTGCTACCAGCTCCCATAACAAAATCATGCAAATATGGAAACCTCAGCTATGAGAATTTAAGTTTTTGCGCAGTTTTTTTCTGTTTTAATTTCAGTTAGACTGATACAACAAAGCAATAGACTTCTTACAAGTCCAGTACAGCAAACTTAGAAAGGTACATTCAGAAATTTAACCACTCATGAAGTTAAATAAAAAAATAAAGTTGACATTAAATTAAAATACCTGTGAAAATAACTGAAGTCCTGATTCAAAGCAGAATGTGCCAGGAAAACTGGATCTGAGCCTTGGCCTTTGATACTGTTGCAACTGTTGTGGCCTGATTATTGGAAGAAAATAGTTCTCTTTTTAGGAGGGTAAGAAAAATAACTGATACTTCATGCAAAGAAGGAGACCAGTTTAATTTGTTTCTATTTACATGAAGGGTTCATGTATAGCCACTACAATATGTAGTCCAGTAGCCTTTGCGGTGCCAACAGGTTTTCTATACCTACCAGGCATTGTTCTGCTTCTTAGAGAAGAGATGCGTGGTTATGCTTGATAGGGGGAAAATCCTTACAAACAGCAGAAATCCAACTGCTGTTTTGTAAACTGGAAGCACACCACAGAGTGACAGCCTTGTCTCACTTGTGTCACAGGGTGCAGGTCCTTGTCAACTGCCTGTCTTCCCATCATCTCATACCTGCAGCTGTGGAGACAATACGTTCACATTATTCAGGCTCAGGGTGTACTCTACTACCGGGCAAGGTTTTTCAGTAGAATGCAGTAAGGTTATATTTGGTCAAATGTAGGGGACATAAACCAGCTGTTTTCTTTTCATTTAAAGACAGGTTTGGATACTAATCTCAGGAGAAGCTGTGCTGTTTGCAGTTGTGTGGATCTGTGACTGCCACTCTGCTCTCCGCTCTCAGTCTTGTGACTGGGCTGTGAGAGGGGGTTTCAGAGCCACTGTTTTCCATTGCTTATTCTTTGGTTAAAACAGCAAGGCAGCAGATACTTAAAAAGAGAAATAAAATGCAAGCAATTTCATGAACTGAGGAAGAGGGGTGATAAACTGGAAAAAAAGAAAAAAAAATATTAAAATCACATGTCCTTAATTGTCCTTAATCTCAACTTAAACTCTTACAATGAACTAAAGTTAAAAACCATGATACAACATTTTTGCCAAACTTCTGGGTCTTGGACACACCCTTGGGTTTTGTACCTAAATATAAACTAGCTTTTACTATAACTGAGCATCATCAAGCTATTCTACTACATAAAACGTTTTTGCCCATACAAGGAATTTTCCAGCATATAAAATGCTTTCTTGGTAACCTTTTTTCCCTAACCAAAAAAAAAAAAAACAAGAAAAGTTATGATTCATTTTGGTGTATTTCAGAATTTAAAGTCTGAGAGTGTGGTTTATTTCAGATATTTTTGTAATAGTAAAATTACAGTTTCTGAAGAGCTTTTTTTCTCTATGGATATCACTGATATTTTTTCCTCTGAGAATAGTCTTTTCTGTGAATGTAACACCAGATATATTTACATAATATCGATACAATGAAAAGTTGAATTTCATAATCTATGAAATTAAATGCCCCAAAGAATTACCCTAATCAGGCATCATTCCTGATACTCCTAGCAGAAAAAGCAGTGACTGCACATTATGGAGACCAGACTGTTCCTCCATCTTCTCTGTGAGCACCATCCTCTGTGCCATGGTGTGATGTGGCACATGGAAGAATTTTTTTCATAATGTGATTAGAAGCAAGAAATGCATTTCTGAGTCATTCCTTTCGTACAGTCCATACCATCAATTTTCCATATTCAGTTTGTTATTCCAAGCAATCTCCTTCATACTCTATAGATGTATTTCCAAATGATTTTCAAATACCAAAGGAAAAAACATTCTCACATTAGCTTCCCCTGCAAGTTTTTTTGGGAAATGGCAGACAACACAGGGAAAGCAGATGTTGTGTCCTAGGGGTTTGTTTCCGTTGACCATATTTTTCATTGCAGCTATGACTTAATTTCACACATTTCCAGTTAAATTCATTTTATTTGAAAAGTACGTTCTCGGTTTCTCATTTTAGCCATGACTCAAATGTTCTGGTGATCTTCTCATTAACATCCCTTTTTAATGATGTTTCATGGACACAATCCAGTCACATTGCTTCAAATAAAGGAACATGAAAGCTGATGAAAAGAGGGACATCTTAACTGTGAATTTTGTCAAACCTCTTGTGACAAGTTATGCAAAGGGTTTTTTTTTTTCTTTGTGACCTTTTCACTTGGAAGTATTTGGAATCTTACTGAAAATAATACTAAACTGTTAAATCATGTCAATTCATGTCATTACAAAATCATCAATTTCTAACCTCAAGTACAGAGGACAGAAAACTCTCCTCAATTAGCAGTAGCTGCCAGAAGATGGGCTCCTGAGGGACTCCATTGTTAGACGCTGATCAGAGGAAAAACGCTTTCTGAGGGGAGATAGAAAGTTTCATTTACTTAGTTTACCTGGAAGAATGGAATGAGACATCTTGGCAATAATGTGGAGCAGAAAAAACAACTGAACACTTATCTTTAAAACATCTGCTCCATATGGAAGGACCACAACACCTCTTTTCAGTCTTCTCTTTTCTAGACTAAGCAAAGTTAACTTTTGAACCTGTCTCAGGGGGACACACTTACAGACTCTGGCTGTTTCCTTGTGAACTATCCAGTTCGTCTGTGTTCCTCCCAAAACAATAGTGCTGAAAGCAAACACAGTCCTCCTGCAGAGCACAGAGGGATTTTGCTCGGACTTGACGGTATCTCAGCA